GAGAGGGGAAAGGAGAGAAGAGAGGGAGAGAAGACAGGGAGGGAGGGAGGAAGGGAGGGAGAAAAAACGAAAAAGAAAAAGGAGAGTCACAACCTGGAAGGCTCTGTGTGGCCCACTGTGCACGCCCTGTGCCAGGCAGATGTACGGAAAACAACACCCATACCGGTAACACCAGCAACTGTAATATGGGCCTCCATGTAGGGGAAATGGATTTTTTCACACAGCTTTTTAAGATTCCAACAACCGCACACAGCAAGGTGAGCTTTGTGGCACTCCGTGGAATCATTTATAGGTTTGAGTCTCCATGTGTGTGTGTTGGGGGTGGGGGACGGCTCTGAACAGATTCCATCTCCCGGAAGAGAGAGGTATCCCTAAGCTGCTCTGTCTTAGCCAGAGAGCTATTGTAAGAGCTGACCTCTCAAGAAGGAAACACGAGCGCACGTGGGGTTCGTCCGCATTTCAGATGCTGTGCCGGGTTTATAACAGACTGCGCCCAAGTTGCAAAACTGAAAGTCATCAACCAGGGTGGGCCGGAGGTGAATGTTAACAGTCTTCCGGGAGCTGTGAAATGGACGGCACATTCGTGCCATCTCTGACTTCTGGCCCCCCATTCTTTTGCGTTCTCTTTAAGAAGTCCGCTTCGAGGACAAGCCAGAGGCGAAGGGAGACCGCCCCCCCCCCCACCCCCACCACTTATGCCACTACCAGGGTACGAATGAAAAATTCTGATAAAGCTCACAGCCTTGAAGAAAGTTTCAAGCTGCCTTGGTTTTCTCTTCTTCTGCCACTCATTATCGGGCAGAACTGAAGGACAGATTCTGCCTTTTGCTCTGCAGGCTAAGTTCTATTCTCGCTGGAGACCATCGCTGGGGAGTGGAATGTCTCGCTACTCGCTTATTCGCGGAGCCCTCTATTTAATGGACTCGCGATCGGGAAGGCGCATTCCGCGGAAGAAGTCAGCTCTCCCCTGATGGAGTGAGTGGGTGTGCACACGTTAGGCAATGAGAAAAGTTATTTTCTGCATGCCATGAGCCAAATTATCCCAATTCCTTTGCCGAAGAGCTTCCCCCGCCCTTCTCCTTTTTTCTCTTCGTAGCTTGAATAATATTTAGCTAAGATTTCAGGTTCCTGGTTTTCAGTAGGATCCAACAGGTGTGGGGAAGGGTCATATGCCCACGGCCAGGGTCGTGAGGTCTCTGCCGTATGATGAGCGTCTGTCTTCGGGCTCGGGGAGCCTTCTCACTGGCCCGAATTTCAGAGCAGGGCCTCATAAAGCCGGCAACGTTAAGACCCAAATAATGTCATTTAGTGTCTAGGGGGAGGTTAAAAAGAGGATTAGAGGAAAGCAGGCAGGCAGGGTATATTAAACGAGTCCATGACTAGCAGGGTGTGACAGAAAAGGGTTTTATTCTTTTCAACAAAACAATTCCCCAGGGCTGGGATCATTACTCCACTGTGCCTTTATCACCTTGGAATTTTTATGGTTATTTTTGATGAATTCACATTTTTGTAAAGGCTTTTTTGAAATGATGCCAGTTTTCAATTTTTAATTAAAGTCGTAAATAATCTTAATTCTGCCTTAAAAGGTTTATTGTTTCTTACTTTTTTTTTTTTTTTTTTTTTTTTTTTTTTTTTTAGTTTATTATTGCTGCCAGGAAATATTTCAAATACCAAGCACTGATGTGAGTTAGCAATTAGAATCTCTCCAAGGTCTAGTAACAATGTTGTACACCATGTAAATATCACAGACCAGTTTACCCCACGAGGTCTGAAAGTGTGGATTGGCTGCTTTCAGGTTTATTCACAATGCTTCTCCCGGGGGTGGCATTTCCTCTTTTTATCGGACGGGGCGACTTTCATCATTTTAATTTCCACAGATTAATTTGTCACTGATTCGGAACAGATTTTAAGAATCTTTGGATTAAAAAAGACAGGTCACTAAGGTCTGGGCAATGAAAGGCAGCCACATCAGTTCAGCCATTTGCAGGAAACAAGGTGCACATTAAAAGCTAAATGAGCACAGAGTACCTCACTTTAAAGAAGACAAAATTAAGAGCATAATGCAGTATTTGATATTAGGCTATTGCACAGCTCCTTGAAAGTACACCCTGGCTACCCAGCCTCACTGCTGAAGGGTGTCTGCACAAATTGCCCATCAATTTCTATTTTGTAGCCTCAGGTCCAGTTTTCGTTTTCAAATTGGTGCTTCAAGAATCTTTCACACACTCCAAACTAAGTCTTCCTTTATATAGAGGCTGAGACAGACCACGTCTGAACAATAGAAACCAATTAATTAATGATCCCTGAAAATATCTCATTATGTTTCCATACCTACTGTCAACCTAGGTGACCTTCTTAAGTTGACTACACAACGTGATGCTTATTTGTCTGGATGCGGCACTTATATTCCCTCATGTCCATGGCAGGTGTTACTCTCTGTGAAGGTGAAGGTGCTCTCCAGTCTTAGGATAGATTTCCTAGTATGGTAAAACCCCACACATTTCAGACAACGTGGGAGGTGGATGGTCAGATTTAGGAGAAAAAACTCTCAAGAAGGTTTTTGTTTTTTTGAATTTTTTAGATGTTTGTTTATTTTTGATGGAGAGAGAGCGAGCAAGCGAGGGAGAGAGAGAGGGAGAGTGCGCGCACAAGCAGGGGAGGGTTAGAGAAAGAGGGAGACACAGAACCCAAAGCAGGCTCCAGGCCGTGAGCTGTCAGCACAGAGCCCGATGCAGGGCTCGAACTCATGAACTGCGAGCTCATGGAGATCACGACCTGAGCTGAAGTTGGGATGCTTAACCGACTGAGCCACCCAACCGCTCCTGTTTTTTGTTTTTTAAACAAAGACAACTTATCAGTTCAAGTTCACAAGATACACACGGAGATAATGGCAAAAGCCATTAGACCGTGGTCCCGCAACACAGTATGCAACGTTGGTGTTGTTCAAATATTAAGTGTCCTCCTTAGAGCTTTAGATTATTAATTCACTTAGCAGTTCCTTACTCTTCTACGGTACAGGAATATCTTCAGTGTGGGTTTAATGGTCATCTGTTATCAGTTTACTGTATTCCAATAGAAGAGACTTACAGAAAAAAGAAATGATTTAACAACTGACTTACAAGAGTGGGTTTACATACAATTAAGAGCATCTATCAAATCCTTCCAACTGGGCATTTTTCTAATTCGCAGGGAAGAGGTCAAATTCTTTCCATATATGAGCCTTCAACTGGCACTGTGCTAACACCTCTCAAGAAGAAAAACCTCAAGTAAAAAAAGACTACACAGCATTTCCCAACATAAAAGCATTAAATCCCTATAAACCAGGAAAGAATGCACGATTCTAGTTAACTAGAAGCCACAGTGACCTGAACACCAGGGTCATGGGGTTCAATCACATCATGGGGACTTGAAGTATTGTGAATCTTAAGACTTCCCTTAAATTTGTTACGAAGGGCCCTTACATGAATCAGGTACCATCTCAACACAAATGAGACACTCATAAAGCTAAGGTCAGCTCAATGTGGTTTTCTGCCATGGTCAGAAGTTGCTTATTGTTCCAAAAAGTTAGAAACTCAGTTATTGGGACCTCGAAAGCTGCTAAACTCCTTGTCACCATGGGGCCAACCACTTGCTGGAGATCTTACGAGATCACGAGAGAGAGGGAGACAGAAAGAGAGGGTGGGGTGGGGAGAGAGAGAGAGAGACAGTCAGTCAGAGTCATACAGGTTGGCTGGTTGATCTTTAACATTTCTCCCAAATCCAAAACTCTATGATTTCTATGTGCGCTAAAAGCCACATTAATTCCTCACCGATATCAAAGTCATTTTAGGTTCAGTTCCTCTCTCAGATTTCCATACACAGCACCTATTAAGAAACGTGTCTTTTTCTAAGCTTAAAGGGAGGGATATTCTGCACTTAATCATCCTGGAGATACACCTACCTTCTCCATCAGAACTAACAGGGTTTTGACCAATTGATATTTTAGGAAAAAGCACTTACCTCCAGAAAGGGTTTCTGTTGTGCTCTTTTTCCCAATTCAATTTTCTTTAGCTATTTGGACTTAATCTCCATAAAAGCCTTTTGTTACTCTCCGGTTTAGGTGACTTTTACTAATTTCCTCTGATTCTTATCATACAGGCCCTCCCCCAGAAATTCCTATCTGGTCATACGAGCTATGCAGACCACAGCACTGCTGTTACTTCGGGGAAGATGTCCCCCTCAGAGAGTCTAATGCATGAAACTACCTTGAGAAGTCGAAGAATTCCAGGGCCCTGCACAAGTTCCAGTACTGCCAAGAGTAACTTAAATGTGCCTTTCCTGGCTAGATCCATTCTCTTTCGAAGTTACCTTTTTTCTCGCTTGTTGATCTTTGGAAGAATGTGCCTTCACGTGCTTTCTGAGGGAGCTTGGGTCTGTGTAGCGTTTGGAGCATCCTGGAATTTGACAAGCATAAGGTTTCTAAATGAGAAAGAAAAAAAAAAAACAAAACAGCTGTAGTTAAATCATAGAGGTGACCAGGGAAGATTTACTCAAGACTACTGACTTCAGAGCATGAACTGTTACCAACTGACTGACATGAAATGCTGGGTAATACTTGTGGGTTTTAATTAGAAAGCCCAGTAAGTTTGCATCAAGGCAAAGGGGAGAGTCAACTTTCAAGAAACGAGGAGGCAGCGTTTAGGGGTGTGCTCTCCCCGCAAAACGTCTTGTGGCATTTCTGGATGTGGGAATCATTAGTAAGCATCTCTAGTCATACTTACAGTTCTGTTCCCCTGAAAACAACCTCTGGTATTGTCAGAAACTAGGAAACACACATTCTCTAAGAGTTCGGGTATAAAGAAGCTGCAGAAAAGTCCAGAAAGGACTGGGAATGTTTCAGAGGAAACCTGATTCAGAGAGAAGGAGAGAATTAAAAGGGAGTGTTAGTGGAAAGTGAGCGAGAGACCATAGGTTTCAAACAACAGACACATGCAAACTCAGCCAGAGAAACATTAATCTTATTATAGGTATGACAGGTATAGGGGAGGCCCGGTGCTCAGCTGGGTTACACGCGTAAGCTCTTGGCTGAGTGTAATGAGACCACAAGTTTTGGCCACCTGCAACGCCCCCAGGCTCCTGAGATGTGAGGTACAGAGCCTAAGGCTGAGTCCAGAATCTTTTTAATTTTTGCACCCCTGGTGACGGGTATACAATTATGAGGAATGAATGAATGGGAGCACGCCATACATCAGTTCAAATTTTAGCACCTATGCCTACTGTGACAACAGAATTCATAGCAAGGGTTTGAGAGTATTGGCTTTTATGTTACGAAATAAAGCGAAACTGTTTACTCAAAGAACTAAAAGAAGAAGTCGCAAGGTAAACTATGTAAGTCACAGCGTAGAGTCACTTTGTACCTCTCAGTGGGTGACGTTAATTGGAGTTGTGCCCTCGTGATTGGAAACGTAAGCAGGAGAAGTGAAACCCTGCCCCTAAAATAGGATTCTTGCTCTAGGAACCTGCTCTTCCAATGACCAAAAAGAAAAAAAAAAATTCAGATTTTTAAAAATTATTATTTCCAGTTTGCTCCTGTTTTCATGTGGATGTTTGTCATTTTGGGAACCAACATCTACGTGGATTCTTGCCCCGCTGGAAGCTGTATTTATGCTTCACTTTTTTGTTTCTGCCCTTTTTGATTGCAAGCACAACGTAAAGTCATGAATATATAATTTAGTTGGACACTCCCAATTTGAATTCGGTTTGATGTCTCTGTTCCTTGAGTGACTGATTGACTGAATCACCCAACAGGTCTGAACGGTTTCATGGTATGCTGGGTCCTGCGTCACATGTAAGAATGCTAACAATGAACATTGGAGGCACCAGGCTCTCCGTATCTCAGGTTTTGCCAACGGCGAGCCAACATGGGCTGAAGTCACTAGTCAACGAGTTTCCCTCGGGCAAACAAAAGTTTTCTTTCACCTGGGAATCTCTTCTGGGTTCGCACAGCGGTCTTGCCATAGCCTTCCCCACCCGGCCCTGGCTTTAGGGCAACAACCAGCTGCTATCTCTATGAGCGGTCATGTTGTGACCACATACACTTGCATTCTGGGCACTAGAGGAGATGTGGCATGTTCAAAAAAAAAAAAAAAACAAAAAACAAAGAAACAAAAAAAAAACAACTTTGGGAACATTAACACATTATATAAACCAACCCTATTATTATTACGATGGTCACTAATATCTGCGTTGAAAAGAAAAGGAATGGGTAATGTCACTTTGTATTTGAGTTTGGGATGTTCTTGAAACATCTCACCATCCCTCCCAGCTGGCCTTCACTCTCTCCCCTGCTGTTAGCCACCTGGGATCAGTGTGCCAAAATAGCAATGTCAGGGGAGGGTCCAAGTGGTGTACTGGTAATTTGATCTCAGGTTACCCCAGCTTTAAATGGCATGCTATACTTTATTAAACTATATTTTCCATGTGCACTGTAAAATCACTTCCCCTGTTTAGACAGTAAGATGCTAATAGGGAAATAAGTTAATAAAACTTTTCAGGGTTAGAATTTTGAACTTGGGAAAAATCATTTTCCTGTAAGAATCCCCTGAGTTGAAGAAAAGATACTTTATCCAAAATTCTGACAGCATTAGCATAAGGAGTGGTTAATGAAAGGAAATGGGGGCCTAAATTTAAATAATACATTCTTCAAGCAGCTACAGTTTGCTTTTTAAAACAAATGCTTAATTTCTGCACGATTTAAAAAGAGCTTAACAATTCGTTTAACGCAATAAAAATTTAAACAGGAGGTAGGTTTGCATCTTAAAAGGAGGAACGATGGTTTTAAAAGATTTAATAGAGAGGTAGTTAAAAAAAAATAAAAATGGCTGGGTTTTAAAAGCTACTGCATTGAACTGAATCATGAAATTATTATCTGTGGTAGCTTTCCTCAAAAGTTTTAAAACGTGATTTTTTTTTTTTTTTTTGAATTCCAAAATGATTTTAGAAAATGCTCATAGTCTGATTAGCTAAAATTAGCTCCAGGTAAAGAAGGGTATTGTAGAGCCGTAACACTCAGGCTTACAATAGTTCTTACAAACTACAGATAACTAGCTAGAGTGGAGGCAATTTCTCAAGACAATCTTGTCTTGTGAACGCTCTTTCTCCCATGATAAAGTTTAATGACAAATTGGAAAATTTATTAGATTCTACCAAGGCCATTTTAGACTTACAAAATAGGGCATTTTAACATAATTTATTCTTTTTTCCCCCTACTTCTACCTTTAAGAATCCTGCTATTCACCAAATTTATTCACTTAACATTCCACTCTGGTGGTCCTAAGATCACGGGATTCAATCCAGCTAGAGCAGGAGGGGGCTATGCTGTGTCCGTATTGCTCTAATTATATTTCGGCTACTTACCAGGCAAACCCTCACATTTATGTATCTTAGGAGATAATGCTGTTTAGAAAGGTTATGTGACATATAGCTAAAATGACTTCTATCAATATGACTAATAGAGACTAATATAAAATTTAATAAATATGTCAACTGTAACATCAGAAGCATCTTAAATATGTATGAGAAGGTGTGTAGAAATAACAGTATCTTCTCAAAATTCAAATTCTGGTGTAGTTTAATAATAGACATCAGAATGTTAACACTGAAAAAGTACTGCCATGAATATATTATTTGCAAGCACGTGGGATAAGAGCTCTGGCATGTGTACGAGACATCCGTCCTGATGGCTTTGTTGAGTGAAGCGAAACTGCACGGAGTCTACCTGGCCCCGTGTAAGGAAAATGGCATCGAAACTTGAGAAATGCCAAGGAGGACCATCAACAGAACTGAGAAAATAAAAGAGCCTCAGAGAACGAGCAAAATGTTACGGCACTGAGAGAGTTAAGGTGTAATAATGGCAATCAGTCGTTCTCACAGGAGTTATGCCAGTGGATCTGTGGCTGTTAACACAACAGCGGCACGGGGAAACTTAACCCTGGGGAAAGATGTGCGGATTCTTTGCAGATCGCCTGAAGGTGAAAATGCCAGGTGGCTTCTCTAAAGCAAAAGGCCAGAGTCCCTCAGTCTCCATGCCAGCCTCAAAGTTCTTATGGCAAAAAGAAAAGAACCAGGGTAAAAAAACAAAACAACAACAATAACAAAAACCCAAAAACCACAATGCTTCCTCTCCAGCAACAGTATATATGATCTACTTCAGCAGCCCGATATTTAAATACTTATGATGACGTCCAATCCCCAGCAGTCATTCTCTGTACTAAAACCTGTTACGCGACAGCCCCTGAAATGCCTTTATTTCATACACACAGCTCTGTCTCAGGCGGTTGTAATATTTAGGGTAACCTGTGACTACAGAAAAATGAGGAAAGAGCCAGGCGGGGCCCCTTCTGGACCTTTACCAAGGTTCCACTGCTGCCCTTGGCATTGTCCCTATAACCTGCAGACCATAAAGCAAACACCTTCCTGTCCCACTATCACGTGGGCCCTTCCTCACACCGGGGCTCAGGGCTCGGGGCTGGCAGCTGGAAAGCCCATGCTGTCCTTACAGTGTCCAGATGTGTCCTCTGGTGCTTGGCACGGTCACTGGAGTTACTGAACGCCTTCTCACAGCCCGGGTGCTGGCACAAATAGGGCTTCTCGCCTGTGTGGCTCCGCAAGTGAATCTTGAGATTCTCAAGCCTTGAAAAGGCCTTCTTGCAACCTTCAAACTGCGAAGAGAAAACAAGTTTCAGCTGTTGAGAAGGACTGTTTGGGTCTGGGGGGACAGG